TTTGTAAAAACGTCATTTTCACGACCCTTTTTGTGGTAATGTGCTTAGCAAGTAAAATACCATGATGGAAGTAAAACAGTAAGACAGTATATTATTTTACAATGAATACAGTATATTATGATATGACGTTTAGATGTTGTATATCAATTAGTAAGTATATATGTCCTGAAAATTCATTGAAATTTGTAGAGATGAACTATTTCATTATACATTATCACTTTTATAATTAGTTCCTATAGAAAAAGAAAATTGTATTAAAAACATACCTCATTTTAATATTGGACATATAAGTTATTGATGTTACAACTTTAGAAGCCAAGCAAATTTTTAATTGTCAAACATTTTTTTCATCTATTAGCTATTTGTGAACTATTCTTAGCATTTTGAGTTAAGATAAAGATATCAAGTACAAAGTAGGGACAAAAATAGAGCCTTTCTTTAACGGCTTGAGTGGATTCTAGGCTCCCACTGAGGATGGCCCGTGCCTGCTCATCCCCAACTTACCACCCTCTGAGCCATCAAATGGTTCATTTGTTCAGAGCAGATGTACTCGGGCTATATGGGAGACATCAGGCTGTGCCGTGTATCAGATCTTGACAGATTCGAGAGGTGGGTAAAGATTTACAAGAACGAGAAAGACCTATAGATAAGATAGTCTTAGCATCTTTTGAACCATATGCATGCAAAGCTATGCTGATTTCACTAGTATTGACACTTGCCCTTTCTCTGAAAATGCTTTAATCTATGTTTACGGAGACAAAAAGACGGCGAGTCTTAGAGAACTGATGGCTTACTCCTTTAAATGACTCCCCCCCCCCAACAAAAGTTTGAAGAAATAGTAAGTTGGAGGCCCTCTTTTGAGCGATGATCTAAAAAATATCAGCCAGCCAATACCGCCCCAAAGAACTTTTCACAAATGGATAATTATCACTTGATGAGGGTCTTAACAGGATGGGTAGGTTTAAAACTTGTCCCTATTCTCAAACTACATAATTCGCTTGCCAGGAACACCTAGGGCACCAATGACGTCACATAAATATAGGTCTAGTCCAGACTGTAATTCCAAGGTTCTCGTTATGAGAGCTTGTTGTATGTTAATAGCTTGTCTCTCAAGTTAATTACTACTTCCTTCTTCTCACTAAACTAGATCATAAAAACATAAAAACTTTTATAAGCATAATACGAACGGTGCCAGTCAGGCTACTGTTTACGAAAAACATATCTCGAGACGGAAAGATGCCCCTGTTTTCTGTTACAGATGCAAGGTAGCCTGGAACGGAGTTTTCTGTTCTACTACGAAAGATAAAACACACACTTTCATATCCGCGTTTTCTGTTAAGGAAATATTAAAATAATTCTGAAAAGTGCTGGTTTTTATGTAAAATGATTTTGTAGACATACCCGATATTTCAGTTTCCGTTCGTTTACTCCTTGATGTTGTAAAGCATTAAACTATATTGACCTGATACCATTTTTTAAGGCACATACAAGTTCAGTTTATCAGTATGTGACCCAATGTTGTATTGAAAACATAGTACTGCTGCACCAACATATAATGTTATTTTATATATTTTTGAAGTTTGGTGACTTTATGTTATTGTACTGCAGAGTTAGATAAATCCAATTAATTTGAATTCGTGACTGTCCAAGGCTCGGGCCCCCCAGTGGCACAGCGGTGTGTCTGCGGACTTACAACCCTAGAATCCAGGTTTCAATGCCCGTGGTGGGCAGAGCACAGATAGCCCATTGTGTAGCTTTGTGCTTACTTACAAACAAACAAACCAAGGCTCGAACTATGTAACAAATTACAATATATGTTTTTTAACCTGATTACACATGATAGAACATGGTATGCATTGCGTAAAATCATTAATCAAATGTTCGATGTAGAATCAGTTTAGTAATTTTGTATTCTGTCCACTGCTAGAAATTTTATGTAACTCAGTATTTGTTTGTTGTATAAGCTGGTATCGCTTAATGCCACATTTACCCTGTTTACAGAACGAATAGTGTTAACCTAAAGACATACTATGAAGCTAATACTATTAACTTGATGTCTTTCTGGCAATATGTAGTTTAAAGTGTTTTAGAACCTAATGATTTCATTTTTTAAATATTTTATACCATCCGCTCTTCTGACATTATGATATCATTTATCAAATCTGAATGCCTAGGGAGCGATGCCAAGATGCTTATTGTAAATATAAAAGCAGCTAACAAGTTTGTATTACTGTATATTGCTTAGTGAAGTGGTATCATACTGTGTTGAAATTCTGGTGACATTCAAAACATTATTATGAAAAACAAATCAACTAAAACGGGATATGGATGGAGTGAAACCCTCTAGAACTTGTAAATCTAAAAAAATAAAATAAAACATGCAACACACAATATCACTATAAAACATTTAACAGATGTGTCGATAAAATTATTCATGAAATTTTAGTAAAATACTAAATACATACAATGTCACTGGCGACGTTCTCATGTTAAAGTCTGATCTGAGTTTAATATTTTACCTTCATCTTGTTTCTAGTGTGGTATGCATTTCCTTTTCTTGCCTTTGTTTCAGGTTTTCATTCTTCCAGTTTGTCAAAAAGATAACCCTTTCCCTCTACTTTCATTATAGGTTCAGTGTAACAGCATTCACGTTAATATTTTTCAGTGGTACCTCATGGGGCTATTTTTACATATTTTACAGAATTTCTTCTTCGATTCTTACACTTTACAGGGACTTCAGAATTCGAATCAGTTGACTTTTATTAACCTTTTCAATATAATCTCGTCCTAAATTTATCAGGAAATCGCCATTATGAAGCCCACATACAAGCTGAAGATTAATATCAACTTCTACTACTCAATGTTAACAACATTAGAATTTAGTAATGTTCATATTGACACATGATATCTGTGGCACCTGAAGTAATATTCCTTGAATATATCCATCTATACTCTCACTGTGGGACAATTTGCTCCAAATAGACACTGGTTTTGATCCACTGTAAGACCAACTAGAACGTAACCCTACATAAGCTGTGATTATATATATATATATGAACACGTGCATCTGTTGTTGTCTGGTTTAGCCTAGATATTCGACACATTTTTGCTAGAAGCTATATTTGATTGTAGCGTAGTGGCTATCCATATATTAGATAGTGACTTCTATTTACAGTATATGATTCAATGATCATGTTCAATCATGCAGTCTGTTCTTTCATCTGGCGCTTATTGTTGTTAATTGTACTAGATTAGAGCACTGGGTGAATATCCAAGCTTTAACAGTTTATTTGAAACGTCGTCGACATTCCACTATTGCTTGCTGACCCAAAGTTCAATAGTATTTACTTCATTCTGGAATGTGGTAATCCATAGATTATAATTCTTTCAGGATTATGGCAATTTTTTATGCCGCTAAAATAATGCATGACTTCATCCCAAATGATATTTTCGACATTTTAGTTACTAGTGTTTCGCAAAATTATTTGTGGTAATATTATACTTGTGAGAACATTATAATAATACCGGCGTTAGTGACACCTGTATCCATAAAATAAACTGATAATTTTGGTGTGGATATGCCAGTACTGAAGCTTACATAAAAATAGTTTTCATTGACTAACAAGTATAGTTAGTGTTCTACTTTTATTAGCAAGAAACTTTACTTAAAGTTAGTAGCAAAGAATCTGTTATAGGGAGCAACCTTAATAAAAACTACAAAGAGCCAGTCCTTCACTGCTTATATATTATAGGACCATAAAAACTCCATTTATGCTCACAGTATGCTCAATTAGCTCAAACTATGTACGTATCCATTTGAAATCATTTGGTTTAGGTTTCCGTCTTAGTTTTTGCGAACCAACCTCAAAATTTCCAGAGCTGCCTCATAGGTTTTTCAATAATATAATATGTTATTAAAACATATGGACCATTTCTTCATTTTAGTAAGAAGAGAAACAGTTGGTAACTACTGGGGATTTTTATTATTTTTATTTCCTCGAGGATTTCATTTCACTTTAATGGCAAGACGTGAGCCTTAATGTTCTAAACCACTATTTTTCTTAAAGTATACATAAATACTGGTATGTTTGTTATAAGATAAAGATGTCTACCCAGGTGAGCGCTTTTGATCCAAAACAGAACCATGAAATGTTTTCTTTCTTACTCTGAATACAGCGATGACTATATACACTTTGATACTTGAATCACTCCCACTGAAGTATCCAGTGAATTTCTGCCTGAAAAAGTTCTCATGTGTTCCATGAGAATTGTACAGACTACTAACAATGTAAGATTTAGTTATCCATCTGGTAAAGTTATTACGATACTGTTCTAACAACCCTAATCTGAGTTAACTATCTCGTATAGTTACTATGATACTGTGATAAGATTGTTAGTCTATTAGCCATCTTGTGGAGTTAATATGATAAAATAAACTTCACATTCGATTTTACCATTACACTTATGCACCAAGGTATCTAAAAAGCACTTGAGTTACCGTGTTACTGATGAGTTACTGTGAGATATATCTTCTGTTGTTTTCCATACATCTTTGTAAGTCAAGACTGCAAGAAAATCGCTCATGTATTTCAACGATTCTGCTGTATTTTTGTTTGGATATGAAGTATCATCAAGATGTTTTAAAGATCACACGATCGTTTCAAATGTTGAGCAAACTTTAAGTCTATCATCTTGCAATAGTAGTTTTATATTATACGCCACACTGCTGTGGCTGAATCTCGGTTTCTTTAATTGGGTGCTAATAAAAGTTTCTACTAATATCGACGTATCATATCCAACTGGATAGAATATAATGTGAGTGATGAAACGTTATTCTTAGAAATTTCAGTATTTAAAGTTTAAAATTAATTAAATTTCAACCAGTTTCTAATCTTTCTTAGAACATTTATTTGAGAAGATGTATACAGACTGCACGACACCTGGAAACTTTAAGGTGCGTTAAACACAATTTCCGTTACTAGAAAGAACATTCATAAAGCTACAACTTTAAAACGATTATCCAATTTATTAAAGCGTAGGGAGACTGAAATTCTACATCAAAGATTTTTCGGTCATTAAACGTTAAACATAGTGACAGTTTCACAAATTACACGCATGCGTTTTATAGTTACTGGAAAAGCGAGTGAATGACCCACCTAAACCCTTATTGACGGCCACATAGGCGTTGGGAAGCTTTCGCCGAAGTCGTGTGAGCAATTAGTTCTTAGTGGACGACTGTATTAATCAGCATACTTATAAGCGCACATCAAAATGATATTTCTTTGTATATCCACATTCTACGTTTTATGTCCTTGGAATACTGAGAAGATCTTTTCTCCACAGGGATATTCCCGCGTCACGCACATCGTAGATTTACAACCCTTACAAGGAGTCCCTCAGCACGCTAGAAGAACAAACCCACACGAAGGGGTCCAACTTTCCCTGAAGGTGCACAAATGAAGGAAAATCTTTCGTTTCAACTTCAAGGTGGAGTAGCCTGAGCAGGTGAAAGGCGTCGGTACCATAAAAGAATGACGCATGAATCGAGCTGTTCAAAATGGCCGCAGGGTCCTTCAATCGTCCCTGCTTCTCCGATTGCAACGCCATGGTATATTGTTTACATTTATCCGCCCATTGAACCGTGTCTGAGGCGAGATTGTCAGTTCCCCTTAGGCTGAAGTGAACTTGTGTAGGGGTAACTTGCTGTTTCAACACAGCGGCTTTGTTTACCGTTCAGGTACTGTGTAAAGTACTTACAACTTAAAACGAGGCATCTGTTATCAAAACTATAAACCTGCAGTATAACTTTCATGATCGAAGAAAATATTACTATCAGATATATTAATTATTAACTACCCAATGTCTTGTAAGATAGACAATTAGTAATTTTGTTCTTTTCTTTTTACAGGTTTATGTCAAACAATAAAGATTTAGCAACTCATTAGTGGTGTAGAAGCTAGAATAACGTAACTTTCACAATAAGAGTTAACCCATAAAGCTTTAATGATGTTTATAATATCCTATAGTATTCACTTGATAAAGTTAGTTTAGAAACAGTGAAAACCACACCTGCTGTCGATACCACGAAAAGCGTGAGCGAAACGGTCTTCCTACCAAAAGGTTGATAGAACGATGAAGTCATAGTGTTGACTTCAAGAGTATCGAGTTTCTCATCTCTTCAATCTTGATTTTACTGATGTACGGGAACAGAAGTAATTTGTTGTACACCTTGATGTCAGGGTTTCACTACAGGTTCGACCTAGGTAGCGATCTCTTGCTTTAATTGCTAGCCACCAACAAGAAAGTTATGTCCCCAGGGAAGATGTACTCGTGTTCGGAAACCCTGCTTCGTAATTTAGACATATTGGGTAATTCAATGCACTATTTTTCATAATTGTACGATCGAAAATATTCTCACTAACACCTTTGAATTATACATACTTAAATCACTGGGTACCAGAGAAAAATATTCAATATTAAAAGTTCATGTTAATATATATTATTGGTGTATTTTTTGGTATTTCAGGAGAAAACATTATTTTAAGTATTGGCAATTGTTTGATATTTTAATTGTACACATAGTTCACATTAATATATAAGGTTATCCGTCTCACAGTTTTTGTCAAACCTGACATAATCAAGAAAAATCTGAAAAAAATATTAACACTTTACGCTTACTATTATATTTAGTTTAAATGAAATACCCTCAGTAGTATACTAAAAAGCATGATGGAAAGTGACTTTAGAAGTATTAAAAATTACGAGGTGAAAGTTAACCTTCATTAATACTTTCAATGTTTTTATTTCATCTTATGATTTATTCATTAATTGGCATCTAAGTAAATACTTCTTCAAACTTTGTCTGGGAAAATGTATTTTTCTCACATCCCAAGAACGTAGATTTTCTCACGAGACCACAAATATACACTATAACATTAACACTCAAGAGGTCATTAGTTTCAACACTTCTGGATAAATATATACAATAACACTAAAACTCGAAATGAATTTACTAGTTTGAACACTTTGAGATACATATACACTAAAAATACTAATACTCAAGATGAATTCACTAGTTTGAACACTTTGAGATACATATACACTAAAAATACTAATACTCGGGATGAATTCACTAGTTTGAACACTTTGAGATACATATACACTAAAACCAGTAACACTTGAGAGGAAATCATTAGGTTTAACGCTGACAAATATACACCAAAAACTGTAACACTCGAGAAGTGATTAGTTTAAAGACAGAGAGGAAGTTATTAGTTTCAACATATTTAGTACTTCGAAACAAATATCTATTAAACCTACTAGCGCTCGCGAGAAAAACGTTATTTTCATGAGAAAAATGATATGTGACACATAATAAAGTTCCTCAAGAGGTTCATTGGAAGACAATAACAGATTCGTACTATGTAGATCACCAGATAAATAGCCTCAACTACAACTGAGTCAGCTCTCGCCTTTCGAGCCTTCTGCCTCGCATTTCGATAAAAGTAACTTTTAAATAACGCTCCTTCATGCTGAGAAGGAATTTTCCTGAGAAATCGTATAATGAAACTTACTATTTTGACATATTAGTAAATTTCATAGCTCTTGTTTATGATACATTTGCATTACTTTATTAACTTACTTTATCAATCTTTAAAGTATTGTGTTGTTTTAGTTCAGGATCATTGTATTATTTTAATTGCTATTTTGCAGGTATTTTCACTAGTGAGTCATATATTAAAAAGCTGTATTGTGCGCTTTATTAGCGATTTTTATTTATGACATACAAGATTTAGCACTATTGTGGAAACCAATGCAATGACGAGAGATTCATGGTTCGTGTCCCGTTGCAGCAAACTTGAATTCCGTAGGTGTATAAGAGTGACAATCAAATCCCACTATTCAATTAGAGTAGTTCAAGATTTGGCGTTGGTTGCTGTTGACTACCTACCTTCTCTTTAGTATTTTAGCTCAAAATTATATAAAGCTTCCGCAAATTCCCGAAACAGACAATAAGAAGAGTTTCGCAGGATTTTGGTCACTGGTAACTGATAATCCAAAATTCAATAACTCATGTGGAGTAGTTGAGACGAAGGCAAAAATAAAAACGCAAGTTTGCAATAAGTAGCTAAAATGTGTTTTTATTGTTTGTGACACAGATGAACAACAAACTTACAAACAGATGAACATATTTATGAAAATACAAATGGAAATTCGTGATGGTTTTCACTATGTACACTAAACTCTCCCCCCCATTGTTGTATAAACAGATGATCACCCAAAGTCGACGAGGTTACCCATTATTCTCGAGATAAACGGGAACCAGACTGAGATGGTTAAAATGAAAGAGAATAGAATATACGTTGGCCTTGAAATTATTTAAACATATGACGTATGTTTAAGCATTATTAAAGCTAAGCTTTCTTTGAAGAAGTGAAATGTTTTGGTATAAGATTTGTTTTCAATGCCCGAAAGAAGCTGATGTTCTTCTCAGAAGTTCAAGAGATACAAGTAATGTAAAACGAAGATAGGACTCTCTCTAGTTTCTTCCATTTACATCAAAATTATAACTGTGCATTGCCATGAGAAATTTGGGCCAAGAAGCTATACAGATAAACTTCAAAGATACTTTGTTTAAACAATGTAATGAGAAAAGTAATATAGAGTTTAAAAATAAAGGGCTTCATACCAAAAGGTTTTTACATTCGCAATATTTTATAACGAAGCTGTTTTCAACAAAATGAACAAAATACCAGAAACTAAAGTATATTTTAGAAGCAGTTTTTGATCACTGAAAGCAATAGATAATTCAGTTTTTCTCACAGTCTTTATATAATTACAACTGGTAGTACATGATTACCTTCAAGTTTAACTGAAGCACAATATGGGTTCCATAGCACTTGCATAGCATCTGCATCCGTGATGGATATTTCTGATCAGTTGATGGATGATGTTATGAGGTATCAAGCTAGATTCCTTAGTACAAATGTTTCTATTGGTTGATAGCTTTCAGGGTCGTCTTTCAAATTTGTAATTACAGAGGGTTGAGTGTATTATATTAAAACGATTTTGAAGCCTCATCACGATGTTACAACCCATGTCACCGCACCCGGTCATGCTTTATCTGATGACCTTGCATCTGGACAAATATAATAGACCTGTAGCATAGTTTACATTGCAAAACGCTCCGTCGTAAGACTGTCATGTCCAAAGCATACAACCCCTCTTTGTATGTTTTCTATAATCTATCCAGTGTACGAGGACGACAATTTCCTAGCTTCAGTTTCAACATGCCGGTCTCATAGAAATCCATAGCCAACTTGACCTGTATGTCTTCATATGGAATATCATGAATGCCCTTTCTTTTCTCTGGCTTCTTGAGGTATGCAACAGTTAAACTGGAGATATGACTGGAAGCCTTATCTTGGTGAACCTGTATCTTATTGGCCTTGTTTCCGCACAAAGTCAATATTTTTGTGTGTTATAAAGGATCCAGAACAATGGTCTGATAATAAGCAAAACTAATAATGTTTTCTATAGTTGGTCTTCTTTTAATGGATACGTCGTAGAAACAACTTATGTACACATGACTTGTGTCACTTTTCCAGACGCATATTCTTCTTCTTTGCTATTTTGTGTATTGTTGACTGAAGCACGTGAATGGCTTTTGCTTTTGATCTTTGTGTTAATCGATTCTCATATGTTACAAGATGCTTACCATGTTGCAGATCTCTTCCTGGATGGTCCTTACTGTTCTGTTAATATAATTAGGAGTTATTTTGTAAATTCATGTCATTGCTATCATGTTAAGTACTGATATGGAACTTTTGTTTCTTTCTAATGGTGTGCTTACCGAACTGAAGACTACACTTGGACAGTATATTGGTATGGTGAAGGTCGGGTATGTTTTTATTGCTACCTATTTGAAAAGTAGAGTTGAAATTCAGTTTTCGCTCTTCCAATCAGTAATACACTACAAGATCATATAAGGTATTAGTTTTCAAAACAATAATTAAAAGCTCATACAAGTACAAAATGTTACTATAAAAACAAAATATCAACGTACGATAACTGAAAAGAGAACAGCCATCGCAAAAATTACTATATAAAACCATACAGCCAGTTGTAGAAAGTTGATCCTAATGAAAGCGAATTATAAAAAATAAAAACATATCAGGTTAGTAGGTTACAACAACAGAACCACAAGAGGTCGCAAGTACACCATATCTCCTGAAGGTGGAATTCCAACCCTCATATTGATCACATGTCTATATGGCAAGTTTAATAAAACCTGCGATGTCTAGATTATAAGTTACTGCTATTAGCTGGTGTCTCGTAAACATTGTGATGTTGCATTGGCTAGAAATTATTGTGTTGTTTCCTGATAAAACATCAGAAATAACATAAATCAAACTTGTTTCTGACCACGATTATGTACTTTATGTGTTCAACGATTAGAATATACTCAGAAAATTAAACAAATGATGCAAATAAAAACAATGATTTGTGATCAAAAGCAGAACGAAGCTATAATTAGATTATGATAAGATAACGCATATTAATTTATTTTATTCTTTAGATTTTGACCTAAACAGAACAATTCCACTTAAAAATTAACCTATATTGAAACATGACTGAAACAGCTAGCTACAATGTAAGCCAAGTATATGTGAAGTAAAGAAATATAGTAATATAAAAATTCGAAAAGTTTCAGACCAAAATCTCTGATTTGTTTGTTTGTTTGTAATTAAACACAAAGCTACACAATGGGCTATATGTGCTCTGCCCACCACGGGTATAGAAACCCAGATTCTAGCCACTGGGGGGCACCAAAATCTCTGAAAGATTAAAACTTGAATAGGTGATTATTAAACTAAACTGCTGGTCTAAGTTATCATATATCAACTTGTAACAACTGGTAAGCATGTTTCGATTCTATATCAAACTTAACGCAGATGGTGTGGAAATAGGTCTATATTCATTTCCTCAACCTTCTGTCAGCTAAAGATATAAGGAAATGTTATATTTTATGCAAAACATGAGTTCATTCTTAAGTCGCGCCTTTATATTTAACAATCTTGTAGCCTCCTCGCCATGTCGCATTTATTGGAAAGTTTCCATTTTCTGGTAGGTGGAAGGTATGAGAAATTAAAACGTTTTGTGAGCTAATAGAACTGTTGGACGTTCCTGAAACAAACATAGCGCCTTGAAAGAAAAAAGAAACTTGTTTATATAAAAACAAATTATACTTTATCATAGTGTGATAAAAATGTGTAACTCCATTACTTTAATAAATTTCAATCATGTAAAATAATGAAAAATACTGGGAGTTTAGAATGAAATAAGCAAACACCAAGTTCACACAACTAAGCACCACAGTTCGATTAAGTGATTTTTGTATTTTAAATTCCTGAAATAATGAATTGGATAACTTTTAAGTCGAAGCTTCTTATAATACTGTCTTAAATTACATTTACTTTACGTTCTTGTACTGGTTATATGTATTTTTTCTTTGTTGTTATTATTGACCAACTTGTACGCTCTTGTACTGTTCGTACTGGTTGTCTCTTTTTCATGAAAGCGTTTGTACTATTATACTATTGACAATAGATAAAATGTTAATTTTTGGACTGCTTTATTTGTTGCCCTTTTTCTACTAATTTTTAACTTTTTTATTATTATGTTATTGTATTGTTTGGGTACTATGTTTATAGTTTTTGTACAGTTTTGTTTGTTTAGGTGCCAAACAAACAAAACTGTACAAAAACTATAAACATAGTTACAACGTTCGAAGTTCGTTGCTTACGAGCACTCTTTCCCTAGATGTTGAAAGCAATCGTGTAGTAACTTTCCTCCGAATGAGTCCTTTCTTCCTGCCCCCAGTGGCAAAGCGGACTTACGACGCTAGAAACCGGGTTTCGATACCCGTGGTGGGCAGAGCACAGATAGCCCATTGTGTAGCTTTGTTCTTACTTACAAACAAACCTTTCTTCCTTTATCTATTTACTCGAAATTATTGCTTATACACATATACTACCTATAATTTTCGTTAACTAAAGTTTCAAGAAAAAAATAACGAATTCAAGTAATTTTACTCACAAGAGTTTTTCTAACGTTCTGTATTGTTTGGGTATACTATGTTTATAGTTTTTGTAAAGTTTTGTTCGGTTGTTACAACGTTCGAAGTTGTTTTTGGAATTATGTTTTTATTTGCTCTATTGTACTGGTTTACGATTATTTAGTAAATTTTCAAGTTTTTTATTCTGTTATATCAATTTGTTAACAGCTTTTACGTCACTGAACCACTGTTGATGATTTTTTAAGAAGCTGCTATACTTTAAGTTTTGTTCTATTCTAGGAGTTGGATCTACTTTATAAGTTGTTCTAATATTAGACCGATTAGTTGTTTTTTTTAGTTATTTCATTATGCACTGAATGTTTGGTAAGTTGTAAGGTATTCTATGCTCTTGGACAGTTTTTGAATTACTACATTAATCATATGTGATCTTTAAGTTTTTCTATTGTTTGATTGCTATATTGTTTTCATTATACTATTGGATTGGTCGACCGTTGGGAGTTATTATTTTGTTTTTGCGTAACATATCTATATTCATAGTTGTTGCTGCATTAAAGTATACAGTTCTTCATATTTGAACCATTCTTGCGCTACTCTTATCACCTTCAACGATTACTGTGCTGTTTATATTTTTTAATTTTCACAAGAATACTTTTCATTTTACTGCTACACAGCTATGCGTATGTATATATATATTTAGTGGACATATCTTCGTTTTATTACCACTAATGAAATTTTAAACATATATTTATATGTATAACTCGCTTTTTTGTTTTGTTTTTCGACAGATTATTATTTTTTTAAATCATTTCCACAAAGTTACACAAGGGATACTTCCACATAGCCGTCCCTAATTTCGAACTGATAAACTATAGGAGAGTTAGTGTTCAACAGCTTCCGTCGCCAGTTCTTGGGTTACTCTTGACTGATTTGTTCACCACTCCTTTAACACACCCAAAGTGCAGATCGCATTTTTGTAGGAAAAAAAAAGACACGAAAAGTTCATCCAAGTTTCATAATCCGGGCATGGTAAACTTGGACCATGTTCGGCTCTGGTCAATTCTGAACAAGAACGTTTAATGGTCAGTACATTATGGGACATTTTATTGGTTCAGTATATCAGGTATAGAGAAACTGAATAGTTTGTAGGTTTTACGAAGAAACCAAAAGAAACTAGGCAGTTTAACATCTGCGTTTAAAAAAACATCAAATAAATTAGGCTTAAAACACTGATTTTAATTTTGTTTCTAAAAAATACAATTAAACATACATTCCAGCTCTATGAGCTTACAATACCATTCACAGACGTAGCGAACTAGGTATGGTTTGTGACAAGTTATAGTGAAAGAAATAAACCACGCGTTTATATGCCACAGTTTCTAGATTTACCTTATCGATTAAAATTTTTGCAATTAAGAAACGATATAATTCTTTATATGATCCCTTCTTTGGACTCATATAAAACATAAATTTTACAAAGCTGTATATTTAAAAATGCTCTGCCTTATAAGCTCTGGTTACATGTATAATAAAAACAATGACACTGAAGCAAAATAAACAGTAAAATAAATATTTGTATATACAAACACTCGGGCAACCTTCCCCGAAGGTTACTAACATATTATGGAAAAGAAGATACGTTAGGGTTTCGATTTTTCACTTGAAGCCCTTTGGAAGCAAAAGTTTATATTTACAAATCATGAGTATAATAGTAGAAATTATATCCACAGTCGCTAACTCAAGCTAATTTTGTATACCACTTAAATGTTCTAAAAAGAGTATTCACTATTACATACTTTATATGGAGTAAACGAAGTGTAAACACTATGCCAGACTTTTCTTTGCTGTATGTGATGACTTATTCAGGTGAATTTTAAAATAGTCGTTATCTATCGATGTTAGAGGATTTGTAATATTTGATAGTAAGGTATTTAAGTAAAAACTTAGGAATTTTATGCTTGTAATGCTCCTCCAGTTAAAGCAATCAACTTGTTTGTATGAAATATCGTGTTTATGTATATCTTTTTTCTTCTTTGAAAAATGTAACTAAACATTTAAATTATGAATCAGTGAAAGAAAAATAAAGATACAGATGTTTCCCTCATCTAAGGGATACATTATTATAATCACTAATAAAGTGTATGTTGTTTTGTAAATATACTGTATCAATCCGTTGTGATGCTTTCTTTTTAAAATTATAATAATAATTTGATCTTTCATTCGCTCATTTATGCGTTGTCTCCTACTGATTAATTGTTTCCTTGTTTGTTTTTTCTAACTTAAATCTATCTGTGCTCTGTTCTTTGCTGGAAATCAAACCCCGGATGTCTGCGTTGTAAGTCTGTAAACTTTCCGTTAGCCCCCCCCCCCCCAGTGGCTCAACGTCAAGTTAACAGGCTTACGACGCTAAAAACCTGGTTTCAATACCCGTGGTGGTGGGAGCCCATTGTGTAACCTTGTGCTTAACAACTACCAGACTTAACGTTAATCCACCGTGGAATCTGTTGATGAAGTATTGAAAACTAAGGCTAAATGATATTATCTCAATAACTTATATTTGTCTACACCGTTTCAGAGAATGTTATAACTTTGTGATCTGTAAGGAAAATAAATTTATTGGTATCACTTTGTTTTTCTTTGTTCAAGCAAAATGATTTTTTACGTTAAACCATTAATTAAATATTCTGTTGCTTTGGATTCGAACCAACGAGAAATTAACGATCGTGATTGAGCACTAGAGTTGTCATGAATTTTGTAAATAGTGAAATTAATCCAATTTAATGAGCCTATGGTTGACTTATTATTATGATTTTTATTGGAGAAACGGCGATGTTTACAATCTAATGAATGGTTCCGTTTTCGGCATGTATTTCCAGAGATCTAACCAACTAAATCATTAAATTTGTTTAGCCCATGGTTGAGTTATTACAAATGAAATTTTATGTATGATAGCCTCATGCATAGCCAACTGCTCTAATAATGACATGCAAGCTTTCACTGCTAATATAATAGAATGCTTTATTTAACTCATGGTTGAGTAGATACTATGGATCTTCTACGTTCGTAAGCAAGTTTTTCCTTTCATATTATAAACACAATTATTTAATGCTTTCTACAATTTTTCTTATATTTAAAAAGTTATTCTCTTGATGATAAATTGCAAACTGAAGAATAATAAGATGGATAATTCAAAATGACACAAAAAGTTAGTTGCTTCTCATATAAAATAGCTTTTTTTGTTTGAAATAAAGGGAAAAAGAAAGAAATAATAATGTTATTTTCTTTACTATTTCGTGTTAAGACGTTCGACCCATTACTATATATATATATATCATTAACGACCAATAACTATTCAATTAAATTGATACATTTACCATTTTAATATTTAATGGTTTGACCAGGTCTATACAGGGAATGACCAATAACTATTAAATCCTCGTTTTAGATCTATACGTGCCCCCCCACCGTGGCACAGCGATATGTCTGCGGACTTACAACGCTAGAATTCGGGCTTCGATACCTGTGGTGGGCAGAACACAGACAGCCCATTGTGTAACTTTGTGCGTAATTACAAACAAACAAACATCTATATGTTTTACCAGTCAGTGTATTGTGAATGGCCGATAAGTATCAAACTTTTGTTTCTATCGCTCTATTAATTCTTTGCTGTATTATCGACAGCGAAACACTGAATATTTAAATACAATAATGATTAATCATAGTTAATATTTACAAATTATCAAAGTATTGTATCTGTACTTGGTGTAAATGATGCGTGTGTAGCCTTATTAAAACACACGTAAAGAAATAAAAAATAAAAGCACTCTCGTTTTAGTTGTATTCTTATATCACTAAGCCTAGTTCCTTTACTTGGATAAATAAAATACTTTCCAAAATATGTATTTTTATAGTGAGAGCATTATTTGCAGATATCTCGTAACTAAATTTAGGGGTGGGGGAGTATTTTCATAAAAAACATAAGCCACTAATCCTAGTTATATTACATGTAAGAAACAAGGAAAACGTTTACTCAATAAGATAAGAGGAATACAAGTTTTTAGCAAACCTATAAGTACAGATTTAGTTATTTTAGATAAGACTTTGAGTTGAAATATTAAAATCTTTATTTAAATATCTAAATAGATTATATTACGAAGTACATATAACACCAGGTCTTAATGATCAGGTCGTGTTTATACAACAAAAACACTGTGTTAAAGATTTTTACTATAGCTCCAGAATTCTTGTGCGTACGTGGCTTACCTCCAAGCCATACTTAGCATTTGTTAATAAGGTAGATTTAATGTGCATATCTATGATTAATAATTGAATATATATATATATTGATACTTACTGCTGCTTAAAATTAAAATATCTCGTCCTCTATGGTGTTTTCTGGGTTAACCTTTGATTTTAAAATGGAAACTTTATATATAATTTAATTAAACACAATGCAAGATTGTATGCATGATGTTATTGATAAAAAACTGTTTCAAAGTTTTAGTTTACTCCAAAACTTCAGAGTGAAATTTACATAAAATGAAAACCAAATTCCCCAAATATATAGCTTACAGAATCATGTATAATCCTACGATAACAATTATAGCTAGGGAAAATGTTGTGTATAATGTAAAGTACGTCTGTTTATGTGTATAATTATCTATATGATTATATGTTTTGCATAGTTCTGAATTTCTAGGAAAATAACAGATCTAGTAAGTAAAAGTGTAGGTTGTACAGACCAATGGAAGGTTTTATAAATCTCACTCATACGTTTACGTACACAAGCTACAAATAATATACTTTGCATATATTGCTATAAAACTAGTTATGATAGCTGATTTCTAGTGCCCCTCTGGCCTTCTAGTTGCATCACACAACAATCAGATGACACGCGATAGAATGTCTGGAGTATTTGTCGTAGTTCCTTTCATTTACTGGAGCTAGACGTGAAAGTGAAACGTTATCATGGGTCTCTGCAGACGGCAACGAAACGCGTGTTCAACTTAGAGTGTCGGAATTAACGCGAGTTCGGTTACGATTGTTATTCACCTGCAGAACAGACGTTTTCAACCGGCTCTCTAAATGACAGCTATTAACCAATTATTTTCAAATTACGAATGCTTTCAATTTTATTTTCAAAAGACATGATTTAATAAAATCATGTTACTTTTTTATCCTCTATAATAATAAAAACCCTCCAATTGGAGAAATCAAGTCTCCGATTTTCCAAATTGTTACTCGCTTAATTATCTATAGATATACGGTGGTTTAAAAGGGAGCGTGCAGAAGATTTCGCCATTCTGTTTTGATAAGACTCGAAGAATAAAGTCTAGTGTTGTTCGATATGTGATTGTACAGGTTAGGACTACGATCTGGATAAACCAAGTCAAGTTTTGGAGGCTCAAAAGCAGACGGCAGGTTGTAAATAGACTAACATTGAAGGCTAAAAGAATACGGCAGGTTGTAAATAGACTAACATTGGAGGCTAAAAGAATACGGTAGGTTGGAAATAGACTAACACTGAAGGCTAAAATAATACGGTAGGTTGGAAATAGACTAACATTGAAGGCTAAAAGAATACGGTAGGTTGGAAATAGACTAACATTGGAGGCTAAAAGCATACGGTAGGTTGGAAATAGACTAACATTGAAGGCTAAAAAAATACGGTAGGTTGGAAATAGACTAACACTGAAGGCTAAAAGAATACGGTAGGTTGGAAATAGACTAACATTGAAGGCTAAAAGAATACGGTAGGCTGAAAATAGACTAACATTGACGGCTAAAAGCATACGGTAGGTTGGAAATAGACAAGAGATAAGGCTATAAATAGTCGAGAGATCATAAATAGAAATCTGTAGCTAAACTAGTGTTGAAAGCTATAAAATAGAAAGCGGGTTTTCAATACAAAACAGTGGAAGGCTCAAAAGTATACGATACAGAAAAACGTTGAAAGTTCAAAAGTATAATATGTAGAAAAGTATTAAAGGCTCAAAAATAGTCGATAGGTTGTAAACGGAATAGTATTGGAGATCTCAAAAGTAGATGATATGCTGTAAATAGGCAACCGTTGAGGGCTCAAAAGTAGACAGTAGCTTGCAAATAGACAAACGTTTAAGTATCGAAAATCATTATTACCAAGGATGAAAATTCACATGAATGTAGTATATTATGATTTCATTAATTGTCTGTTGTTAAACGCAAAGGGCTATTTGTTCTGTGTCCACCGCAGTGATTGAACCCGAATTTTATTGTTATAAAACATGAGTTACCGGTTGGGATGGAAAATGGTGGGTTGTGATTACATGAACTTGCAGAACACAAAGTTTGTCAAAGGTGTTCTCTACGTTTATCAGGATTTCATCGAAATTTACAGTAGTCAAAGAAAAAGCTGTGGCAGTAATTTCAACATTTTCAAATCGAAACATACCTGAATGCTAAAATAGTGTTCTAACCAAGATGTGTACAGGAATTTTAAAAAGCATATAGCCTAAAACTTATATGACATTTACTTTCGTGATTATTATACAAAAACGTTCTGTAGTTGTGCAAATATTAGAAAGATTCAAAAGCAAAATTTGAGATACTGTTGGTAGGTGATTAAAACTTACAAGCTCAACTCCAAACTTGTAGCAGGTAATTTCTATTAGACTTGGGTTTTCATCAAACTTCCTCCAGGAGTCATACACCTACAATCAACCCCTCAGGTGGTTCGTTGTTTCAGTAACTTCTTTTTCCGCATGAATACCAGACATCTAGGTTGCTAGGTCTACTTTCTGTAAGAACTCCATTATAAATAATATGCTTGAGAAATTTCCGGGAATGAAGACGAAAAAAGCTTCCAACTGGGAAAGTTAAAGCTATCGCTTCGTGAAGGACACAAATGAGTGAACACAGGAAACAGGTGCTCAATCCTGCTGAACGACTGCTGTCTTTGCTGGAGCTTGATATAACTAGCCTTGAATCGCTGTTAGCAGTGATAACACCGACGTGTTGTTGCCGCGACTGCTTACAGCTATTTCAGTTTAATATACTGCCACCGGCATAAGATAGTATATACGGTCTCTCACTTTGAGATGATCGACCCTGGTTTATAAAACTGTTAAAGCCATGCTCCTTAGTCATTTTACTTCCATGACAGTTAGATATATTTAATTTTACTGAATTTTGTATTATAAGATAAGTATATAATGTGTCACCTCTTGCATTAAAATGTTTGAAATAGTTTCCTCTGCCCTGATATAAACTGAATCTCTTTTCAGACAACTTGTTGCATGTTTATGACATGATATATGTATATAAGAGTATACAACATTCTGTTAAAGACTCATGATACTTTTGCAATTGCAAGGCCAAGAATAAGTTTATCAACCTCCTCAACGTACGAGGTAATTTGTTTTAATATATGTTATGCAGGTATAAACTATATCCGAGAAAATAATAAAAGAGACAGAAAGATATATTAGAAAAGTGTAAAATATTGGAGCCAAATCTACGCTTAATATTTATATACTGTATATACAGCTATTGTAATAATAATCAGTTTTGTCTGTCCTGAAAATGCGTACGCACCTTATTATTTAAATGCGTTTGCGCGCGTGCTTCACTTCAACGGATGTAAACAAAAAAAGCAGATGTAAATGCACTTCAGTAGACATTTTGTACAGCAATACGTCTAACGTTAGGTTGCAGAATAACACTATAAGTTTATTTATTGATAGTATTAAGTACGGTAAAGTTTAGCTCTAACTAAACTAAGGCAAAAACGTACACGAGTTACAGTGTTAATTTATCTCTTTATCGAATTTTGTTCGTACTTAATAAAGGATTAATTAATGTTAGGCCTAAGACAAGTGTAATTATAGATATTAGTGTCTGCAATTAGTATTCTTTTGTAGTATTCTACAAATTCTGTGTTTAAAGACGCACTGTTGCAATAAAGATACTAATGTGACGGCAAATATTTTGCAAGGCTCTGATAATATATAACAAAACACTACATAATGAATCTTTAAAGTTAAATTATTCCTTATTCTTCGGAGACATGCTCTTAACTAACACTATCTATGAATTTTATGCTATCTTTCAAACGATATTGGAAATATTCCAACAGGTATTATAGGTATAACCAAAACATATACAGTTTTTCACCTGTGGAAAATTGTATGGATTTTGTTTACATATATATATATATATATATCACGTGGATGTGTAGTACGTATTCGAGTAAATTCCAAAAACAAATGAATGAAATCAAAGGAGAATATGATAAAATATATTAACCACTCTACATTTGCCCAATCTAGCGTCTACAATGCCTGATGGGATATAGTAGACAAAATAGTGGTCTAGGTGCTATATATATCATCATCAACTTTTCTAAATAACAACTATAATGGTGTGAGCTATACTAAGCAAGTGAATTGTAACTATTATCAATTTTACTTAAGTCGTTTGCAAACCAGATTTTGACGTTAAAAATGAATATCACAACATTATTAATTTTTGTTTTTAACACTGATTATTTTTATTTATTTATTTATTTTATTACTATTTTATTTTTAACGAACTTTACTGTCAAGATTTTTCGTGCGTTGGCACTATCACTATAATGCTCAAAGATAAAACAGTACGGTTTATTTTTTTTTTGTGTGTGTGTGTGAGATAGGACAGAAAATAAAACAGACGTAAAAATCATTTCGAAGAGTTATTTTTTGATGTTGAATTCTGTTGAGTTTTCCACAATATTTTCCCTGAGCTTTCCTGTTTTGCAGCTACTTTTTCGTGTACTAATATCTTTTGTTTTTAGTTTTCATTACTTGCGTTAGATTTTTGGTGTAATACTGGACTATAATATTAGACGAAACATTAGCAAAAATTACAGTACCACTCCTCACAAATTTCTTTCTTTCAACATCTATTTTACTGTTTATTTCTTTTCCAAGAGTGTTCAGAGCATTCGTACTGGTAACTAACTCTCAGCTGAAAAAGGAACCTACTATCGTTAGGTGTACCAACTACTACACAGAAGTATTAGAAAAATGACTACGTAGTGTTGAAACTTAGGTCACCATAACATTATCCACATTAGATTTTGTGTGAAATTAAAATTAAAAATAGGTAGGACATTATAAAAAAATCAAATATAAATATGTTCGATTGAAGATTGTGCATATTAGATCAAGACAGAGTTAGGCTTATTGCGTAAGATCTGTAATTATTATGTAAAACGTTTCATGCAACATAAAATGAAGCTTACTGCCTACCGTTACAGCGAACCGAGTTTTATTCCCTGTAGGCCTAACTCTGAAATCAAAATTACTAAAATTGTGCAATTATATAGACTTGCTGAATAGTTTTCCCCAAGAAGGCTTTAAAATATTTAAGACAGCTCATAATAATACCTAAAGATAATATAATTAAACTTTTTTCGCATTTTTTATAAGTTTTCTTCTTATACTAAAAAAAACATTTTGCCTCATTGTGAAGTATTTTCACAATCAGTCACTAACAGCATGCATAAGTATCTGCTTTACATACATAAGCTCCACTCTTCACGTACACCGTATATAAACGTCTTTATAGCTATCGAAGTTGAATAATAATACAGGCCTAGCATGGCCAGGTGGTTAGGGCGCTCGACTCGCAATCTGAGGGTCGAGGGTTCGAATGCCCGTCACACCAAACATGCTGCCCTTTCAGTCGTTGGGGCGTTATAATGTGACGGTCAGTCCCACTATTCGTTAGTAAAAGAGTAGCCCAAGAGTTGGCGGTGGGTGGTGATGACTAGCTGCCTTCCCTCTAGTCTTAAACTGCTAAATTAGGGACGGCTAGCGCAGATAGCCCTTGTGTAGCTTTGCGCGAAATTCAAAAAACAAACAAACAATAATAATACATTATTACAATTAAAGAATTCTTTATTACTAAAACAGAATCCATTATTACTGTTACAGGTACAATTGGTTTATACAAGAAAACAAAAGTTTTGATGCCTCTTGCAAGGTACTGGGCCTACTAGGAATTATATGAGTTATTAGCTATTTTGTAAGTTTTTATCACATTTGTAATATTTGACGATCTTTTCCAGTTGGCAAACTAGACTTTGATATATTTTAT